AATCCGCCTGCCAATGCAGGAGAGACGAGATGTGGGTTCAATCCCTGGGCCAGGAAGATCCCTTGGAGGAGGAAAATGGCAACCCGCTCCAGTACTCTTGCCTGGAAAATTTCATGGACAGAGGAGCCTGGCAGGCTATAGTTCCTGGGGTTGCTGAGTCAGACACGACTGAACACACATGTGTGCATGCATATTGCTGTATATACATCATTGTAATATCATGCAGGTTATTTTCACTGTCTTAAAAATCTTTGTGCTTTGCCTGTTTACCTCTGCCCTCCCCAGCCGCCCCCCCGCCACTCCCAGCAACCATTGGATTTCCTAGAATGTCATATAGATGGAATCATAGTATATAGCCTTCTCAGATTGGCTTATTTCATTTAATAATATTAAGTTTCCTCTATGTTGCTACCTAACTTTAGGATTTACTATAAAACTACAGTAATCAAGACAGTGTGGTTTTGGCAAAAGGACAGATAAATAGATCAACAGAGCAGAATAGAAAGCCCAGAAATAAATATTTGACGAAGGAGCAAAGGTAGCATAATAGAGCGAAGATAGTGTCTTCAGCAGATGGTGCTGAGCAACTGGACATTCATAGGCATGAAACTGAATCTAGACACAGACTACTCAGTCTTCACAATAATTAACTCAAAAAGAATCACAGATCTAAACATAATAGGCTCATATGGTAAAGAATCTATCTGCAATACAGGAGACCCAGGTTCGATCCTTGGGTCGGGAAGATCCCCTGGAGAAGGGAATGGCAACCCACTCCAGCATTCTTGCCTGAGAATCTCATGGACAGAGGAGCCTGGCCGGCTGCAGTCCACAGGGTTGCAGTGAGTCGGACGTGACTGAGCACACTTGCACTAAGAAAGCATTGCCTCTCGTTATGAAGATTTACACGGTTTTGTTCCAAGCTTTAGCTTTAAGTCTTTTCCAGTTTGTATGCAGTGTGACGTCAGGGTTCCGTCTCATTTGTTTGCACGTGGATATCCAGTTGGCCCATCATCATTTGTTGAAAGGACTATTCTTTCCCCATTGACTTGTCTTGGTAGCCTTGTTGAAAGTCAGTTGATCATAAATGCAGACATCTGTTTTTTTCCAAAAAGGTGTGAAATTTTTTGAGCTGTTCAAGGATAATAAAGCAGGGTGTTACAGAGAGTAGTTAAATCCTTTGTATTTCAAAATGAGTTCAGGCCTTCTCTCCAGTAGGGCCCCTATTCTGCAAGAACACCATGTAAAATTGCATCAGTCTTTTAGTTATGGAATCATCTTCATGTAGCGGGGCTTTTCGTGGATCTTACCATTATTTAAATTTGTAAACTTGCGGTTTTTTACTATCCAGTTCTCTTTTACTTTGTTCACAAACATTGTAAACTTGTTAGAATTAGTCCTAGTATTGTAAAGATTTAGGTGGTGGTGGTGGTTGTTGTTTTCCTTCACTTGTTTTCAAAGTTTAGCTGGAGGCAGTGGTTAATGTTTAAAGGAGTCATGCTTATAAAGTTGGGATAGTGCTGCGAGGCTGATGGTCTGCTGATTCTAGCTGTAAAATGTGTTTTGGAGAGCAGAAAAACAATTTGCTTTCGTTCCAGTACACTCTAATTCTTGAGGTCCACTGACTTTCTAAAAGCATTGACTCAAAAAGTGAAATGAAGAATTGTGAACTACATTTTCCTTAATATTCTTTAGTGTTTGGAAAGCAAATATACTTATTAGGATCTGTTGAGGCAAAACTTATCAGAATTAAGTTAGATGGTGGCTCAGATGGTAAAGAATCTGCCTGCAATGCAGGAGACGTGGGTTCAATTCCTAGGTTGGAAAGATCCTTTGGAGGAGAGCATGGCAACCCACTCCAGTATTCTTGCCTGGAGAATCCCCATGGACCGTGGAGCCTGGTGGGCTACAGTCCCTGGGGTTGCAGAGAATAGGACTTGACTGAGCGACTAAGCACATGTTGACTTTAAAATTCAAGAGATTAGTTGCCTCTAATATAATGCCACAATTCACAGGTATTTATTTCTGGTTTTCATTTGGTACTTTTTTTACATTACATTTTAAAAGGGGAAATTTTCTTAGAGACCATGTTTATGCTCTTTTCTCCAGCTCTGAAAGTGTATGTGGAATGTGTATATTTGTTGTTTAGTCACTAAGTTGTGTCTAACTCTTTGGCAGCCCCGTAGACTGTAGCCTGCCAGGCTCCTCTGTCCATGGGACTTTCCAGGCAAGAATATTGGAGTGGGTTGCCATTTTCCTCCTCCAGCAGATCTTCCCAACCCAGGGATCGAACCCATGTCTCTTATATTGGCAGGCAGATAAAGTATGTTTTGGTATGAATTAGATGGGAGTGTAATAATGAAACCTACTATGTAAATACTGTGTGATATATATGTTAAAGTATGTTGTCTTTATATTATATTGTGTACTAAGTCACTCAGCCATCTCTGAGTCTTTGTAGCCCTTTGGATTGTAGCCCACCAGGCTACTTTGTCCATGGGATTTTTCAGACAAGATTACTGGAGTGGGTTGCCATTTTCCGCTTCCAGGGCATTTTCCTCACCCAGGGATTGAACCAACATTTCCTGTGTCTCCTGCATTGCAGGTGGGTTGTTTACCCGCTGAGCCAACAGGGAAGTCCTTTTTTCTATGTATATGTCCATAATATTCATTCAGTGATTATAGTAACATCACAGTTACCTAGAAGCAGATTTTTCAGAAATCCAAAGTTTTCTAGACACCATCCTTTAAACTCTGAAATACACAGAAAAGATCTCTTTTTAACAGTGAGCAGCAAATTAGAAAGCTGGTACCTTGTATTTTCATATGACATATGGACTTTCTCCTAGGATCATATCTTCTTTATAAGTTCCTCATCTTCTTTAAAAATGAAAACTCAGGGAATTCCCTGGCGGTCCAGTGGTTAGGACTTCATACTTTCACTGCTCAGGGCCCAGATTCAATCCCTCACCAGGGAATCGAGATCCTACAGGCTGCTCAATGTAGCAAAAAAAAAAAAGAAAGAGAAGTAAACTCAAAATTGATGGAGTTGAAGGAGCTAAAGTGAAAACTAAAGGGTATCAGAAACAACAGTGACTTGTGCTTCTCTAATTGGTTGTGAAAACAACAGCATTATCAGTTCAGAAATTGCTACTCAAAGGCCTTCCTGAGTTCAGGGAAGCATGAGTGTACAGTTAAGGAAGATTCTATTAAAAAGTGTCTTTAAAGTGAATGCAGAAAGCCTAACCTAACGAGTAGGCAAGCACACTGTTTGAAAAATTTTCTTCAGTAGATGACTTTTTTTTTTTTTTTTTGCCTAGGTGCCTTATAAATATTAAGGTGGGTTAATATTTAGGTACATTGTTTAATTTATTCAGCATATTTATTAAGCTATTTGTCAGGTATTATTTTAGGCAGTAGAGATTCAGCTGTGAACAAAAGACACAAACGCTTGATCTTTATCAAGTGGGAGGAAGATAGAAAATAAAGCAAAAAGATAGTAAGTATGTTACTGAACATATAAATTCTTTTTATTTTTGACAGTAGAAGTCAAAGTAGTTAATTATTGTTCATGCCTTGATAGCTGTCTTCCTCTCAGGATCAGTTACTAGACTGACTTTCTGCTGGTAAGATATTTTCAGGTGTGCTGTTCATGCTGTTCCAATTATGCTTTTTTTTCCAATTACGCTCATGTGTTTCATGGAGTTTGGCTGTTTTTTCCCTTTTTTTTGGCTGTGGTAAGAAAAGTTACATTTTTATAAAAGCCTGTCTGTCTCATTATATTAATTTAGATTCCAAATTGAGACCCAAACTATGAAACAGATAACCTCAGTTTGATCTTCTAGTGCCCAACATTGTTGGCACCAGGGACTGTTTTCATGGAAGACAGTTTTTACATTTATTGTGCACTTTATTTCTATTATTATTACATCAACTCTATCTCAGATCATCAGGCATTAGAATCCCGGAGGTTGGGGGCCTTTGCTCTAGTGTACATTTTAGAGAAAAGTATTTGTGAAATATTAATGAGATACTTGTGGAATGATAGACCTAAAATTCTTTAGGGTAGGCTTTTTGTGTCCTTTGATTCTCCAGTCTCCTTTGAGTAGTCCTTTAAAAGCAGTTCTGTGAGACACTGAAATACTGTTTTGTATAGTTGATGATGACGGCATTCTGCCCAGAGACCTTATTGGAATAGTCAGGAGGGGAGATGAGAGCCTCATGGATGACAGATACCACTTACTTGACTGAACTGTGTTATATCTTGTTCAGTGGAGTTCAGGAAGATGGCATTGGTATTTCCATGGTGTGGGTGTCCACTGTCAGGAATATGGGATTAATTTTTTTTTAGGACGAGAACCACAAAATAATCCTTTCTACCAATTTGTTATTGGCTTGGCTGAAAGCAAGAAAAATGAAGTTGGATGCTTAAAGGAAATGCTCAGGATTGTGTAAATTAGTTCCCCAGCATCTACTAATGCACCCTTTGTGGATTTCTTTTCCCTGTTGGCCCCAAACCTAAGTTACTCCTTCTACCTCCTTCCTTCCATATTTTTGTCATTTCATTATAGGTGTACATATTCCTTTTCTTTGCCCTTAAATTCGAGAGTCAATTGTATACTTTGTTTCTTCTTCAGATGATTTTGCTAGACTTTTGAAACTGTAGGGTTATGAACTTCACATGGTTCTTCTTGGCTTCTCTCTCTTATTCTAGGAATAACTAAAATGCCCAATTTTTGTGAAAAGCGAATACCAGTTCTTCCCAGATTTGTTTCTTATTGTAACAGAGTCAAAACCCAAAGGAAACTGTAGAGGAGGACAAAAAAGGAACCTCTTTTAGCTATTAAAATAATAGCTAGGTTATGAGAATTTTATGTGAGATTTGGGGAAAAAAAAAAAGAAAAGCACTTGATTTTTCTGTTTTTATGGCATCAAAATATGATGTACCAGCAGAAAAGTTATTAAGAAATTTCTTAATATTGCCCTTTGATAAATTTCAGGCTGCTACCCTTGTCCCGGACCCAACATGAATCCTATTGCTCTTGGGAGTCGCTGGCTTGCTTATGCAGAAAACAAGGTAAGCAGAGCCCATGTTGGAATATTTGTTATGGAGCATATGTTGAGTTTTCCAAAGGTAATTCACAACCAGTAATGAATGTTTACCTTACTAGTTTGGTTTTGTTTTAATTGGGCGACGCAAAATCGTCCAATAAGCAGTACGCATGTACTCTTGACTCAGCTTGACCTCTGAACCATTTCAGAGGAAGTTGTATATATCTCAGTGCCTCCAAAATGCTTGTTATCAGCCAATTTAATGTTGAAAAACTACTTTTATCGGCTATACTGTCCCTGTTCCAATTTTGTCAATTAACCCTATCTTGTGATTTGTAAAAAACTTCTTTCCTGTGGTGCAGAATCCAATCTAGGAGCAGGTAGTGTATTTTGTAGGAGTGTCCCTTTCTTTCTTTGTCTTTTACAGGATTGGTAATTTTGAAGAGTATAATCCTCTACCTTATTCTTTTTATTTTAATAGAATGCTTTTTCTTTTGAGCTTTTTGATGTTTTCTCTTGATTATAACCGGGTTCTGTATTTCTGGCTGGAACAGTGCACGAGGGTTGTTCTGTAATTCCCACAGCATCACATCTGGAGGTACATGATACACATCTGTTCCTTGTTGGTGATGCTAATTTTGTCAGGGTCTTGTCCAATTTCCGTACTGAATAATCACATTTTTTTCCCCTCTGGTAACCAATAGATAATTTGGAAAGAGGAGGGTTATATCCTACTTTTCATCAAAATCTTAGCTTTACCTAATCTTAGCACCCATTGATGATTCTTGCCTAAATCAGTCTTTCCTATGAATATTCCAAGTTAATGCCAGTTCCACTCTCCACCAGTGGGTATTTGGCTCTCTGTTATAATCAAGAACTTCCCCATCTTTTTAAAATCTTACTGTATCTGTATTTTTGATATGGGCTCATGGATTCCTTTTTTTTTCAGTGGTTTTTAATATTTTTCTGTCTGTAATTATTTTGGTTTTCAGATTGTCCCAGAGTCAATCAACAAGAGCCCCTTTAGTCTGCTTCTTGTGACATTGTGTTGTGGCTTCATCAAAATTAAAAATACTCTCCTTACCTGCTATCATAAGACTGTGTCCAGATGCATCTTGTACTTGCCCTGTCTGAGCCCTGGAATCATCTGATTTTACTGGTTCTTTTTAAATCAACAGTGATATTAGATACTTAAACTTTGTCCAGTAGATGTGTTCTCTGTACTGGGGTCTTTTTGCTTCTAGACTCTTCCAGTGGACAGAGTTCACAAACATGCATGTTATAAACCCACACATATTTCTATATATACACATAAATAGGCAAATATACATAGATGCATATTTGTGCACCCATGTATTTCCGTATGTACATAATACATTTTGGACATGAAGAGTTGACATTGACATTTCCACAGGATTCTCTCTCTTTGTCCCCCATTTCCTATTTATATGTCCTTTGTTTTGGATAGGAGACCATGGCATCAGCATGTTTTCTTCATCTCTTCAGTTCTATAATAAAAATAATTGCAGAATTGCTTGCTCACACTGCTACAAAAATCAAACCAACTAAAAAGAGTTCAGGATTTTCTTGCAATTCTCTCTATTACTTCCTAAGACTGAAGATATAAAATCAAATGCTGTGTTCATAGGCTGTTTGAGTTAGTTTGTCCTTTGTCTGTTTTTTTTTTCCTTCCTCCATTGTTGTTACATTGTATTATTCAATTATGTATTGTGTATCAAATAATACATAATGTATAAATAATGTATTATTTGGTAGGTAATTGTGTATGTTTGTTTTTATATTTGTTTTATTTATATGCTTATATATTTTATCATGTGTTTGAGATATATATATATATATATATATTTCCCTTTCTTTCCTAAAAGATAACATTTTATATGTGTGTGTGTGTGTATAGATATATATGTTCTTTTGTACACTGCTTTTTTCACTCACCAGTATTTCCTAGAATTTGGGCATAGTAAGAATTTTGCACTATAGAAATTTCTGATATATCTTTCATTTTGATGTACCTCAGATGCAAATATAATTTTTGCAGTGGGTCTGAGTTTTAAATAGAATTCTGGCTTAGTTATGTTTATGTAGAAATGCTGACTCAGATTTAGTTGAATTGAAGAGGTATGGCCTGTTTTCATTGATGATTTTAATTAGCAGAGACTGGGTAGAGATGGTAGTTTCTAAGATAATGTCTTTCCTTGCACGTCCTGCAGGAGGCAGCAGAGGGATAATTTTCGTAATTCTTCTAGTGTGTAATTGTGAATGAATGAATGAGTGAGTGGGTGAATGAGGGAGATTCTTTTCATTAGCTAAAATGACTCTTTCTTTTCCCATGTGTGGAATTATATTTACCAGTTACCTGTGATTTGGGAAATACCTCACCACTGTTGTCTTAAGGGATTGTTTCTTTTTAATGTCAGAGATGAAGAAAATTTCAATTTTAAAATAAAAGAATAAGAAGTTCATGCATTAATTTTTATCGGGTGGGGTGGTTTTAAATTATCTAAGCCATTTTTTTAAAATATTTTGGGAGAGGAAGATTCTGATTTCTATAGGCTTTTAATAATTCATGTCACAATGTGGAGTTATTCTAATAGTCTGTTGCCATTTTATTAAAAAGTTTTAGGTGTAAAAATATGGCTAATGATTTTTATATTTCCCTTTCTTTTTTTTAAACCTAAATTTAGAAAGTGTAGGGGCAGTGGAGGCTTCAGTCCCGGTTTATTGCTCAACACATGAGAGAATCGTGCATGTGAAACTAGTGATTCATTTTGAAAATTGGCAAGTTAGTTATTTACATTAGACATGAATAAGGACGTGTCTTTTCCATTCCGATGTTAAAACTAGTGAACCCTCTGAAGTGGACAGCTACTATATGTGTCATAGTTGATTTATGCATAATTTGTGCCACTTTCCCACAAACACAATCGAAAATGGAAATATGGCACACTCTTTTGTCTGTTTTTTAAAGTTTCCTTTTGCTATCTTTATGTAGGAATTAAAAGGACAAAACCTCCAATTTGCTAGCATGTTAAATATTTAATGTTAGGAAGTCATGGCTAAGTCCTTTGATTATGTTTCTAAAATTTATTTGTGGAAAGTCTGCCAGATCTCAAATCCTACCATTTCAGTTTATGAATTCTTAAAGACTATTCATCTTGTAATTAAAAATCGTATTTGAGCATGAAACTGCCTGAGTGGCACCGATAGATTATAAAAAGGGGTAAAAGTGTCTCAGCAGGGCTTTTAGCTGTTTGTCGAAAAAGGGCTCATGCAAACATTCCCACCCATCACCATCATTCTGTGTGGTAAATAAGCTGTATCCTAAGAGCCTGTAGAGTTAAACATTTAACAGAATGGTTACTCTCTTTCTCTCTCCAGTTGATTCGATGCCATCAGTCCCGTGGTGGAGCCTGTGGAGACAACATTCAGTCTTACACTGCCACAGTCATTAGTGCTGCTAAAGTGAGTAGCCTGGAGCTTCTGGGAGGTTTGATTACGCGGAGTAATTATCACATTTCTCTCCTGAATTGTATTGAGATTGTCCCTTCCCTTTTCACTCACAAGTGTGGAACAAATTTAGGAAGTAAGTCAGAATTATTTTGTCACCTGAGAATTGGCACCTAAATGATTAGGTATTTAATCTCTTAAGGTTCCTAAATCACACTTTATTGTCTCTTGTAATGATTTTAAGGTTTGCATTTATCCAGTTTAAAATATTTATGTCTGTTTGCTAGGTCGAAGTCTATAATCTAATTACTTTGGAAAGAAGCTTTGCATATTTTAAGTAGTGACTTCTGGATTCTATTTTTTTGTGTGTGTGTGATTTGCATCATTCTACCCATACTGACATCCCTTTGCATTTTTGAACATTTATGAATCTTCTTGACACAAAAAGAATATTACTCATTAAGAAAACTTGAGTGAAGGCCCTGGTGAATTCAGAGGTTCTTTGATGTCACAGAACTGCCCCCCGGAATGTTTGTCGAGTGAGTTCTTTTTGTGTATGCGCGAGGGTTCATTTTGATGATGGCTCATAAACTTTATGCTGATTATAAGGTATGCTTATAATCACCGTTCTTTTGAATTGTGAAGTATACAACAAAACAGTTCTAATAATAGGGATGACATAGTGAATCTGAATGACAGCATGTAATAGAAAGCACAACTATTCAGAAAAGAACAACAGTTTACAACACACCACAGGGAGGGAATCAAAGGTCACACTGTTTTATGTGAAACAGATACAGAAATACTTCAAGATTGGTCACAAATGCTTCCATGATGGGGTTTGATGAGGGAGCATTACGTAGTTTTCAGTCAAAGGAAAATGCTGAATGGCTTTTTGCTTACAGCAGCGTATATTAGATTTCAGAATCTTTGTAGGAATGGCTTACTTTTCTCCACTGCGTATGAAAAAGTTATGACGGTTAGCTCAGTGAAGAGAAATCTGAAACACAGTAAAGGCAACATCAGTGTTATTTAGTTAATTTACAATATACCAATGAGATCTAGTTCTCAAGTATTAAATTTCTTTCTGACTTATCTGTGTCACGCACTTTGGTCAGGATAGCTCACTGTATTGTTATTCTGAATAATTTTTAGTTGTGTGACCAGGGGTAATTTTCCAGCTCTTCTTTGGTATAATTGTGTGTTTGTGTGCCTACTTAAAAGGAAAGTGACCTGCTTCATTCAGTAACTGTTTAGCTGTTTAACTGTTAGCTGAAAATAGACTTACTGGAATGAGGCTAGACTTGATGTGCTTTGAAAAAAAACAAGTCCAAACTCCCTAATTTTCTACACCACAGCATTGTGAACTGTGAGGAACACACTCGTGTCTTCTACACTGAAACTCTACGAAATTGTGTTGATGACAGCACCCTAATGGGCCATTAGTCACCAGTGAAATTGGTGTTGATTGCAATTCACTGTTACCTCTGACAAAAGAGAAGTTTCTGCTATTAACTCCTAAATAAAGTGATTAATGTTTAATTTTTGTTTAACTACTTTACCCTGGTTTTAGTGCTTATTCATGTTCTTGCTTATACATTTATAAAATGAAGGAAAAATATAGCCATGATGCAAAAGTCACTCGTTTCTTGCTGGTCTCAACATGTCCTGTCATCTGTTGTACCCTACTCTTTTAACTCATGTGCTTAAATGTCATGAAATATTTTAAAAACATTTTTCTTATATTTATGTAGTCTTTTTCTGTGCATTTATGGATTCCTGAATTAGATAACATGAATATTTTGAGATTTCTTTGAAAATACTGTCTAGTTGTTTTCCTAAAATGTTATCAGATCTAGAATGATTCTTTGTTTCACATTCAAAGTGTGGATATTTTATATGGGAAAGATTGGAAAGTTGGGATGAGTTTTCCCCCAAATGTAATTTCTTCTAGTAAGTTGCTCAATATTAGAAACTTGTGGGTAAATTAACCTTCTGAGATATAAGCAGTTCCAGTTTTCCATGGTAAGAACATAAACATTACTTTTATTAAGTAGTATAATTTGAAATTTATTATTTTACATTTTTTACATGACAATTCCTGTACTTTGTTGTTTAAGTGGCTATAAAAACTTTACTAAGAAAAAGTAAAACCTCACAAAAAGATATCTTCAAATCTAGAAACTTTCATCAGAGAATTCTAGCTAATGTTTAAGATGAACAATGGGATAGATAAATAACAAAAGATTTACTTTTTAGCACAGGGAACTTTATTGAATATCTTGTAATAACCTATCATGGAAAATAACCTGAAAAATGTGTATAACTAAATCACTTTGCCGTACACCTGAAACTAACACAATATTGTAAATCAACTCTACTTCAGTTAAAAAAAAGAATAAACAATGGCAATATTGCAAAGACTCATATAGAATAAAAAGGTCAGATTTTGCCTAATCTTGTTTCATAATGCAAGGTCACCTTGATGTTGAAACTTAACAAGAGTGTTATGAAAAAGGAAAGCTATAGTCCTGTCTTACTCATTAAATCATTAACATAGATATGAAAAATTCTAAATAAACTATTAGCAGAAAAAATTACACAGAGGGGTAATGTGTCACAATTCATTTGGGATAATTCCACAATATAAGACTGGTTTATTACTCAGAATCAGTGAGTCTCATTGCCACATTAACGTAATAAAGGAGAAAATGATATAAATTATCTCAATCTATGTACCAGAGGGGTTTGATGAAATCGAAAATGTGTGTATTGATAAAACATTTTAGTAAATAGTGATAGTCTTTGGTTCTCATGAATTCAGTTTTTGCCAAATTGCCAAACTGTTTAAACACAGTAAACTTGCTCTGTTTCTGATCATTCCATTATCTGGCTCCCTTTTTGTTGTGTTTTTGTTGTTTACTGTTTCTCTTAGTTCTCATTTATGATGTCTTGACTCTTTGCTAAAATTTATTTAAAAGATCTTTAGAAAAAATTCTTAGTTTGAGATGATATCAGAGTTCTGTGACGCTCTCAGGCTTGGATCATCTTTATCCAATTTCATGGATTGAAAGTACTTAAATTATCTAAATAAGGTCACCTGAAATAGCTGTGAGATCCTGATTAGTACAAGTTCACTCTTATTTCTGTTGTGTGTCCCTTGATATTTCAACCTGAAGCATGCAGGGAAAGTAGACCCCATTGGACATGACCACCTAGTTCCTACCACAAGTCTATGAGAAGTACTACTCAATCTCTTAGTTGTTGTCGTTGAGTCACTAAGTCATGTCTGACTCTTTTGAGACTCCATGGACTGTAGCCCGCTAGGCTCCTCTGTCCATGGACTTCTCCTGGTAAGAATACTGGAGTGGGTTACCATGCCTGCCTCCAAGGGATCTTCCTGACCGAAGGATCGAACCTGGGTCTCTTGTGTCTCCTGCATTGCAGGTGGATTCTTTGGTGCTGAGCCACTGGGGAAGCCCATTATTCAGTGCATTTAGGCCTAAATACCAGCTCACGTAGCTGAATTTCCCTGTTCTCTTGGATTCGAACCTGATAATTCATCACTATTTTGTTAAATATTCAGTATCTTCAAGCAGAGTTTAAAAAAAAAAAACTCTAGTTTTCCTACTTGTTTTCATTGGTAGGATTGATCTAATTTACCTAGCCTATCATATTGAAAATAGAAAATACAGTTTCTTATTATTATTCTTACCATTTCAATAATTTCTAGGTAATATGATATTTGTTGAGCTGTGACATGAAAAAAATATTTAAAAGCCATGCAGTATGTGCTCCTTAAGATTATACTAAGTCACTTTCTCTGACAAAGTAATCATTGATGTTTTTCTCTCCCTGATGACAACTTCTTAATGTGGCTTCATAGAGGTTACCTCTTTGTTATGTAGAAAGATGATTAAACTTTTAATTCTTTTTGATGTCTCATATTATAAATGTAAATATAAATTGTATTAAGTTTTCAAGGAAATAATCTTTTTTTCCCCCCTGTATTTTCAAATAGCACTTAAAATTCATCTTTCCAAATAATTTATTTGACTTTCCTTATAAAGGATATAATAATAATAAATTCTCTGAGGTCATGTTGAAAGAAAGATTTTAATATTGAGATTGTTCAAATTGGATTATTTTGAAACATTTATTAAATCTTGGTCCATATATCCTAGTTACCCTGTAACTATCCTGTTTGCGTTTTCCTTTTAATGTGTCTTAACCCCACCGTGGTGAATTGATTAATAAAATTGATTAATAAAAATGCCTCTGCTTTCTCTGTTATCTGATAACTTCTTAGGACAACTAACAGCTTTTGTGAGAGCAGCACCATTAGTCCTAATGGATAAGGAGGACAACTGATACGGCCTGAGAAAGGTTAAAGATGACTAGTGACCTTTGGCAAATCTCTGTGCAATAGAACAGAATAAGTACCATGCTCATTTGAAGTTTTGGTCACAGTAGATTATCTGACACATACATTATAGTCTTAGGTTCAGCACTTTACAGTCCAGATTAGTTCTGTGAGTATTCTTATAATATTCTTCAGATTGTGAGGATAGTAGTGCTCATTGATACATGTGATTCTAACATGGAAACAAACTTCCCAAGGTAAAGGTCCTTACTAATGTAGAAAGTTTTCAGTACCCCTCTTTTATACCCTAAGACCTTATTTTGAAAGTTAATGAGCTATAAGAGTACTTTCCTGTCACTTACTATACAGATTACAGATTTGAGGCTGTTAAATTTGGGCTTTAGATTTTGGTCCACTAATAAGGTGCCTCCAGTGGCCCTAAGTTTTTTGGGGGGTGAGAAACATCATTAATGCCTCCTGTAATACTTTATTCACCTTTGACTATGAAATGTACTACTCTGTTTTCCCCCTCTTCTGAAGTTTTTTCCCAGTTCTCTTGTATTAACTGTTCCCTTTATCTTGTGGCTTGCTTTGGGTACATTACTTCCCACTTTCTGTGTGCTCCAGTTATTTTAGCTTTATTCCTTTTCATTGGTATAAGAGCATGAAATAATAAGCTCAAGGGCAAATGGGGAGGATATACAATCAAAGACTTTAAACCTGAAAGGCATTCCTTTGATAAAGGGGATAGCTCCGTGGAAGTGGGAGCATCTCCATTAGCATTAATGGAGTGAGGACCTCAGCTGAGGCATCTCAGAGGTTAATCAGGCTTCCTGGCCAGCTTTTGACATCAATACACTGTGGCGCCTGGTTTTGTTGGTCCTTTGGAGGCTTTCTTGACAACAGCCTAACAGACTTTGTGTAAGTCATTTCTTGTGAATTATTGAAACAAATGTTTGGCTGCTAATTGAAGAACACTAATGTGTTTTCTAATCACTACAGTTTGAGTTTTTAGCACTAAACAAAACTGTTACAATTGATTTGTGGCTTTTTCTTGGTTTCAGTCAGCTGTAAGTTATATCATTTTGCTTGAATTCTGCAAATGGCTCTGCTGGTCGTTTTATTTAAGTATTTATTAGGAAACACTATGATAGTCTTTATTTTTCCTTTTTTCCTTCCCAGTATACAGTTGTGTCCTAAATTCATGAAGTGTCAGATCGCAAGTAGTGTCAGGAATAGATTACAGGGCAATACTGGATAGTGGTTTGGAGCAAGTCCTGGTTTTGAGTTCTGGCTTTGTTATTGACTGGCTGTTTGAACTGCCGTTTTCCTTAACTTCTGTAGGCTCAGTTTTCTCTTCTACAAACCCGAGGTGTTTGAGGAAATCTATCCAGATCTTTTTTGGTTAAAGAGCCTTGACCAATTCCGAGTTCATAATAAAGGTTCCATGGAACATATTAATAGCTACAGTAAAATAATACATATATTTTGTGCTTTTCTTTTTTTTAAGTTCCATCTGATTGTTGCTTAAATTGCATTTAGGCCTTTATAAACAACCTTCTTTGCCTATCATTTATAAATTAATAATTGATATGCTGTGTAAGCAATATACTTTATAAAATTTAGATGTAGCATATGTCAGAATATAGGTCCATAATTATTTTAAAAGAGCAAGTCACAGTATTGAGGATTAAAGTATCTTAATAAAGACTTTTCCTCACAATAATGAGGATGTGTCTATTATAGTGTACATAATTTTTGATATGTCCATGTAGACTGGACAGTTTATTTTGGCTTTAATGATTAGAGTTCATGTGTGTGAATCACACAGTTTTCTCTTTGTTTTTGCTTTCTTCCCTTTCAGAGAAAATGAAAAAGTCCCATTACTTAACATGATTGTTTGTTAATGGTTATGAGAATAATCAGATGAAATTCACATAAAAGAAAACATACAGATGAGTTTTTTTATCTATTTGTTTTGAATGAAATGGAACTAAAATTAATTATGAAACATGTCTTTAATTGAAATAATATATTAGAAATATTGCATTAAATTGTTTTCTGTCTCTAGAGAGAAAAGAACCCTTTTAACTAATATTATGACATTTCATTCATGTAGTAATTGAAGTATCTTAAATGGAGTCTGCATTACCTGCATACCAAATCTTGATATACAGTATTATATAGCATCATGTTATAGATTTAAATGAGAAAGTCATTTTCACATATGGATTCTATCTGTATCTTAGTCTTTTTTATGCTTAAAAGTAGACTGAAAATTAGGTGTATACAGTTTTAAAAAAATAGAACATCACATAGTTCCTATTTCTTAATATTTCACATATTTTAAGTTACATGAATTGAGGAGAGGGAGAATATAAATATTTTTAATACAAATATAATTGTATTCTCATGTGAAACAAGCTCTGTAATTATTTACCCATGGCCTAATTGTCACCATGCTGACTTGGGGGTACTTACTGATACCATTCACTCAATCTAATACCAATCTTCTAACTAAAATTTAAGATTGTATAAAAAGTCAGACTGAATTTCTGTGAAAGTGCACTGCTACATGTGAGCTTCTTAGAAAATAAAGAATTTAATGTGAATTATCAAAACACATATTTCTATTTAGAATCCAAGTACTGATGCAAAATGATACATTTACCTTTCATTGTTTAGACTCTGAAAACTGGCTTGACAATGGTTGGGAAAGTGGTGACCCAGCTGACGGGCACGCTACCTTCAGGTGTGACGGAAGATGAAGTTGCCATCCATAGTAATTCAAGGCGGAGTCCTCTGGTCCCAGGCATCATCACAGTCATCGACACTGAAACAGTTGGAGAAGGCCAGGTAAGAGCCTGTAATGCCTGTGATGTTCGCTTTGTGCAGAGAGGATGGAGCAACTAAGAGTATCATTTGGGATCAAGATCATGCAAGATGTGTTTGGCCTTGGAGATGTGTTCATTCGGAATTGTAGAAAGTTAAGGTTATTTCAGGTTAGAATTTTTTTTTTTTTTTCAAAAAATGATGAGTAATTATTGTACAACACAGGGAATATAGCCAATATTTTATAATAATTATAAGTGGCATGCATGTGTGCTAAGCTGCTTCAGTCATTTCTGTCTCTTTGTGACCCTCTGTAGCCCTCCAGTTTCCTTTGTCCATGGGATTCTCCAGGCAGGAATACTAGAGTGGGTTGCTGTTTTCTTCTCCAGGGGATCTTCCCAACACAGGACTCTAACCCACATCTCTTATGTCTCCTGCATTGGCAGGCAGATTCTTTACCACTAGCAGCATCGAGGAAGCCCCATAAATGGCATTGTTGTTGTTGTTCAGTCACTTAGTCGTGTCCTACTCTTTTCGACCCTGTGGACTGTAGCCCACCAGGTTCCTTTGTCCATGGGATTCTCCAGGCAAGAATACTCTAGTGGGTTGCCATTTCCTCCTCCAGGGGACCTTCTGGACCCAGGAATTGAACCCGTGTCTCCTGAATTAGCAGGCAGATTCTCTACTAGTGAGCCACTTGGTAAGCCCACTATAAATGGCATAGAATCTTTTAAAAAATGATGTTGCTATTTAGTCGTTAAGTCGTGTCTGACTATTTTGTGACCCCGTGGACTGCAGCCTGCCTGGCTCCTCTGTCTGTGGAATTTCCCAGGCAAGAATACTGGAGTGTGTTGCCATCTCCTTATCTTGGGGATCTTCCCAACCCAAGGATCAAACCTGCGTCTCCTGCTTGGGAGTCAGATTCTTTATCACTGAGCCACCTGGGAAGTAACGTGTTAAAACCTGTTATTTCAAACATTGTTAATGTATCAAACCTGAAGTTAAAATAGAGGTTCTATAGAATCCTCTTGTTATCTCTTCATCAGGACATTTGTTCCATAAATAAATAATTATATATATCTTTTATACCATTTAATAATGTTCCTTTTTTTAAAAAAATGACATTTATTAAAAAATGACACTATAAGCTGAATCAGTCTAATTATAGCTAATTACATTTTCCAGGTGGTGCTAGTGGTAAAGAACCCACCTGCCAGTGCAGGAGACACAAGAGATGTGGGTTCGATCCCTGAGTTGGGACGTTCTCTTGGAGGAGGGCATGGAACCCACTCCATTATTCTTGCCTGGAGAATTCCATGGACAGGGAAGCCTGGAGGGCTACAGTCCACAGTGTGGCAAAAAGTCAGACACAACTGAAGTGACTTGGCATGCATGCATGTGGTGGTTATAAGTGACAATAATGTTAATGAATTTTATTGCAAATTTTATTACCGATACTTCGTGACAAATACAAAAAAAATACACAAAATCTCAAAGAGTATATTAGAATATGTAAGTGGTAATAACTTATTATATGTTCAGATGAAAAATAGAATATGTTCAGATAAAAAATAGATCTTATATGTTCATATAAAACATTTTTACAGTCTAGGTTTAGAAACATTTAAGACAGAGGATGAGATGGTTGGATGGCATCACCTATTCTATGGACATGGGTTTGAGTAAACTCTGGGAATTGGTGATGGACAGGGAGGCCTGGTGTGCTGCGATTCATGGGGTCGCAAAGAGTTGGACACGACTGAGTGACTGAACTGAACTGAACTGAAGAGTGATGATAAACATGGAAAAATATGCTATGCTTATGTAAGTCTTGCTAGAAATAAGCCAATTTGGTTTTGTTTTTCTCCCCCATGCACTTATAAACAGTATTTTCTTTTGAATCATAGTTATGGATTTTAAATTATATTTCTGAAAGGAAGGTAATTTTAATGGCTTGTGATCTTTGCTGTAAGTACCCAATCTAAAATTGATTACCAGAATGAGATAGGAGTAGAGCAAGATTTGGAAGTACAAATTATTTTAATTTATATTAAATTATTTATTTAAATATTAAATATAAACATAGAACTTACATTTAGTTCTGTTTTCAGAACATAATTATGTGAGCCATTAGAATATTAACCCTAAATATTGCATTCTTTTTTTAGAAAATCTGCTTCCAGTATATATGGTTCTGCATCTTGATGAGCGATTACATTTGGCTGGTACTCATATATTAATTCCTATAGTAAGATCAAGTGGCATTTAAAAAAAATACAGACTGTGCTGCAGTGAAAAGAAAAAAATCTTTGAAATTCTGGCTATTATTGAATCTGGCTATTATATTTTATTTGAAATCTGAATAATATACTTCTCTGCCTTTCCCATCTTAACTTTGTGGTTAACCAGATATGTTACAGGCTTGTATTCCTGTTTAAAACTCTATTTAATGAAGTGCTAGCAAACTTTTCAGTTGACTGTAATGACTTTTTTTTTTCAGTTGTGTTAATTAGCTCGAGTTGATAGACACATACAGATGTTCTCTTTTTAAATTGGAATTAAATAGTTAAACGCTTAGTGTTTTATGAGTGTTAACAACTATTTTCTTTTGTCCTTTGATTCTTAATTAATTCACCTCCAAGGCCACCCACATTTACTAAGTAGTAACAACCCTCCTCAATATTGTCTAGTTTGGCCGGTATGCCTAAGTCTGTTAAACATCTAGCATTTGTTGACAGACTGATATGTGGTGATTTAAATGTTGAAACTGTTATCTCCTATTATTTTTGATGAAATGGAGCTATAACTCGTTAATTTATATAATGAGTAAAAAGAATTTAATTTATACAAAAAGCATAGCCTTAGGTCTTGTGTTTTCAAATGTGGTTTGTTTTTTTCCCCCTAGTTCTTTGTTAGCTCTTTATAACTTTAAATTGGAATTCTCACATTTGGAATATGGAAATGGACTGTAGATTATATGAAAGTATTTTTTCTGTGAGAAGTGCATTGTTAACATTGGAAACAACTGAAGTTGTTCATTAGGAAATAAGAATAGTAAAATGTTAGCTTTTAAAAGTTAAAAAATTGAAAGTGTTGCTCAACCTGAGAAATTTTATCTTTCTATCATTTGTTGGGACCATAATCTCTTTCCATTCCTACTTATAACATATTCTTAAACTTTTATTGATTTCAAAATTCTGTTAAAAGACAGGAAATAAATGAGAAGTTCCTATGTACATTTTTAAGGAATCATAAGTATTTTTTCAAAGCAACAAGATTTCTTCAGTATAATACTGCCTTCTTTTATTGACATGAATCTGTTTTTTGTCAAGAAGACATTTTTGTCTCTGATAAATAGTTCAGTTGGAGTACAGCGCTGCTTTTAAGTTATGCTGGATTGTGTTAAAAAGACTGCAGTGGTTAATGTCATGGATTTATCACTTTAAGTCCTTTCCCACTGATGTTTGACCTTAACTGTAGTGTTTTTTTCTTGTCCATCTCCATCTTAGGAACTAAAGCTGACATTATGTTCACTTTTACTATTTAAATCCATTGAGACCTCACTAAAGATATTTTCATGTTTACAGGGATAGTATATAAAATTTGATTCACCATCTTTCTGATGCTGAATTGATTAGTATTATTTGATGGTGGCAGGATCACTGTATGGTAACTGCATTAAAGAGGTATAGATTTGGTTGACTGTCCATTTTGTCTGTGTTAACTGCCATGTTTTATTTAAAAGCATAAGCGGTTTAATTTGCCTTTATAAATTTACATAATTTAAGTTAGCAGGTGGCAAAGTCTCTAATCAAAGAAAAATGCTCCAGAATGATGACATAAACTAGAGCTATTCTTGCCCTGAGTGTAAATACAAGTGTAATTCATAATAATTTAGTGGTTCCTGTGGTGTTTGTCTTTTTGTTCATATGATAAAGCCTTATCCACCTTGTATCAATTAAAGTACTTTGCTTTAATAATATCAAATTGTTACTCACACACAGGATTTTAGCCTGTTTAGATAGTGAGTGAAAATAAAGTCTTAGGACAACTGATTTGGGATATCTTTGGTATTAATTTGATATTTTAGGCAAGGTGATGGTGCAGTGGAGAGAATCTGTAAAAAAGTATCTGGTTGTTGTTATATTTGTGAAGCTCATAAAAAGAAGATTCGAAGAAGTCTGTGTATTTCTAGGAGGTTTTGGTACTCAGCACAATTAATGAGCCCTTTTGCTTGATGGCTTGTGTATTAGCACCATCAAATAGAGCACTCAATACTAACTGTACTGCAGAGAGAGGTACAGAGTTATAATACATGAAAGATAAGAGGCTCTGATAAGAGATTGGTTTGACATAGAAAAATGGGCAAGGATAAAATATTTAACAGAAAAAAATATATACAACTGGTATAAAATCTATAGTTTTTTTTTTTAATCTATAGTTTTAACTTGTTATCAGAGAAAGACAAAACTGTACCAAGATACCACTTGTCCCCTTCAGTATGAGAGAAATTAAAAAGCTTGTGGTATACTCTACATTTTTAACTTTTAATTTTGAAGTAATTGTAGACCCACAGTAAGTTGCAGATATATCCATGTGCCCTTCACCCAGTTTCCTCCAAGTTTGCCCAGGATGTCTCTCTGTGACATCTTACATAGTGGTCATAAAAAGTTAGAGCCAGGATATTGACAGTCACACCTTACTGGTAACTAGGCTTTTGACCATATTTAGCTCTCACCATTTGTTTTTACCTGCATTCATTTGTGTATGTTCTCTGAATATTGAAAGAACTCCTACAGCTGGATAATAAAAAGATAAATAGCCTTATTTTAAAATGAGCAAAGGATTTGAATAGACATCTTTCTGGAAATAATACACCAATGGCCAGTGAGCAGAAGTGAGAGCCCTGGCACCCTGCTGGTGGGGATGTAAAACAGTGCAGCTGCTGTGGAAAAGAGTTACCATTTGATTGGGCAGCTGTCTCCTAGAGAACTGCTCTTAGGAGGTATATAACCAAGAAAAAT